GGTCTCAAGGCTCACAGTATGAGCAGGATCAACTTTAGGTCAGGACTCAGTAGGGACTGGGGTAAGGGCTCAGTCTAAGATCAAGGTGAAGATTCAGTCCAAGCCCAGACTCAGGACTTACCTGTGACCTGGATAGAGGCTATCTTTGTCCAGAGTCAGGCCTCCTTCGGTGATAAGGTCAGGTTTGAGGGTTGGAGGTGTCAGTAAATTTGGGTGACCCAACACCCCTCACCCTTACCCTTTATGTGTGCAAGTCCTCTCTCCCCCTATTCCTCAGGGCATTGGCCCTGAGAAGGGGAAACGGCAGTAGTGCCGTCTGGCTAGGCTGGGCCGGCGCTATCGGACTGTGATGTGCCCAGGGTGCCCTCTGGCGGCACTCCTCAGCAGTGCCGATTTCCCAAGGCTTGGCCAATCTAGCTGGTTCCTACTTTTTTTTTTTTAAGATTTTTATTTATTTATTCATTAGAGACACAGAGAGAGAGGCAGAGACACAGGCAGAGGGAGAAGCAGGCCCCATGCAGGGAGCCTGACGTGGGACTCGATCTCGGGTCTCCAGGATCAGGCCCTGGGCCAAAGGCAGATACTGAGCCACCCAGGCGTCCCTGGCCGTTTCCTCAGGCGCATCTGCCAAACCCGCTGCATGTTCCTGTGTCACCCTACCTCCCACAAGGAAGCAGAAAACAGGAGCGGGCCAGAGGAGCTCCCAACACACACTTAAGGAGCATCTCTCCCTTCCCGCCCAGAGCCGGCATCTTAAGAATTCCCTGTTACTGGAGACCTCTGGTCATGGCCCCGGGATAAGATCCACACCTTTTACTCATTCAGTCATTCAACAAATATCTAATGCGTACCTGCGGTGCGCCAGGTGAGTACTTGAGCGCAGAGCAGCGAATAAGCCAGCCGTGGGAACCTTCCGGAGCCCACATTCCACTCGCTTCTCCTGAATCCCCAACTCCTAGGCCACAGACCTCATCAGAAGGGCACTTGCATCAGCGGAGGGTTGGGCGAGTTTCAGAACTGGGCATTCAGGGGTCCTTCCTTCCCCCTAGATCCAGAGGTTTCTAGACTATTCTAGACTATTCTAGATTCTGAGTTCCTGGTCTCCCTCTCTCCTCAGTTGCCTCCTCTAGACTCATGGCTTCCCCACCACCCATCTGCCAGTGGCTTCTAAATCTGTATCCTCTTCCCAGAACTCAGGGTTGTGCCCCCAGCAATTCCAGGACAGCTCCACTGATAACAGACCTTTCATCTTCCCACAGCCCTGGCTCCTCCCCACCCTCTGCCCAGCTGCTCAAACCAAAATTCTAGAGATTCCTTCTGGATTTCTCTCCTTTCACTCCTCCTGAACTTCCCCCACAGGGAGATGTCAAAAGGGAAGGCGAGTCCCCCACTTCCCAGCCACCAGTCCAGTGGGGCCAGCATGTCAACCCTGCAGTAACCTCCCCCCCGCCCCCCCATCTTTCCTCTGGCCCCGCGACACTCTATTTTCCACACAGCAGGCAGAGCGGCCTTTACCATCATAAATCAGACCACGTCACTTCGCTGCTTCAAACCCTCCAGTGGCTCCCACTTCACCGAGAATAAAAGCCCAGCTCGGCACCCTGGCTTCCGAAGCCGCCCGCGAGCTGAGCACGGAGCCCCTTCCGCAGCCCCCCGCCCCCAGCCTTCATCTCCCACCCCAGCCCTCCAGCCCTTCTTTCCTGGCAGGACACACAGAGGCGCAGTTCATCCCCACCTTAGGGCTTTTGCACTGGCCATCGCCTGACCTTGAAATGTCCTTGCCCTAGAACTCTGCGTGGCTGACTCTTGTCTGAGGGAGCTCAGCTTAAATGGTACCTCGCAGAAGAGACCTTGCAGCCCCTCAAGTCTCTCTGCCAGGCCCTCCCGTGATTTTCTGCAGAGCCCTCCCACTAGCTAATATTTGTCTTTTTTTAAAAAATATTTTATTTATTCATGAGAGACACAGAGAGGTAGAGACACAGGCAGAGGGAGAAGGAGGCCCCACGCAGGGAGCGCAATGTGGGACGGACTCCATCCTGGGTCTCCAGGATCAGGCCCTGGGCTGAAGGCGGCGCCAAACTGCTGAGCCACCGGGGCTGCCCTAATATTTGTCTTATTTACTTACTTCTGTGTTGTCTGTCCCCCCAGGGAGGATGCTTGCCCCCCTCGGCCGGAGCTTGCCCACTTGCCGCTATCTTCCCAGCACTGGACACATTTTAGGGCTCAGTCAACTCATAAAAAATGGTCCTAAGTGGCTCCCTCACTGCTTGCAGTGGGAAGGAGGAGATCCGGGTTCTCAGCTTCTTCGTGGGCTCCCTCCTCCCATGCTATCAGGAGTTCCCTCCAGGACGTGGGGCCCACCTTGTCACCCCTGAGCCCCACAGGCCCCAGGAAGCACCCGTCCTCTCAGAAGAACCAGCTTTGTGTCCTGCACTGCAGCTCCCGGGCTTGCAGGACAGGCCCTGGTGCCTCAACTCTCAGTCTCAGGGTGGGTGTCGGAGGGTCTGGCCCCCATCCCAGGGCTCCTCTGCTGCGTCCCTGCTCCCATTCCTCGAGGTCAGGGGCTTTCGGCCCTGTGTTGTCAGGGTTGTGTCCTCACTTTCCACGGACGGACCGCCCTGGAGCCTTCCTGAGAGGGGCCTGCAGACGGGTGGGGACAGAGCAATCGTCCAGCCCGTGTGTGAGAGAGTGGGGTGCCCCCAGGCCTTTTCAGTGGTGTCTGCCCTAGGAAGGCCTGAAGGAGTGGGGGTGGGTGGGAGCCCCCTGCAATAGCAGCCCAGAAAGGTGGGGCGGGGTGGGGGGGGCAGTAGGCTGTGGGGAGGGAGGAGAGGAGGGGAAGGAGTGGTTGCTAGGGCTGGGTGATTGGGAAGAGGGCCCTGGGGTAGGAGACTATCTCCTGGTGTGCCCGTGGAGGGGGGAGAGGGCACAGATGGGACAAAGGATGACCTTCAGCTGGGGTGGCCGTGGAAGGGACCCTCCAGGGAGCCAGGGTTGCCCCTGGAGCCGCCCCCATTCTGTTCACTCACACCGTCCATCTGTGGCTCACTGCCCTGAGCCCTTACCACCCTCACTCTGCCCCCCGCAGCAGCCGGGCTCCCACACCCGCCCTGCAAGTGTTCTGCGGAGAAGAGGCGGGAGCCCTCGTGGTGTAATTCCAGGCCTCCGCCAGCAGGTGGGAGAGGGGTTTGGGCTGGGCCTAGCGAACGGGCTAGAATGTGGGGTGCCCCCTCCTAAGGAGGGTGCTCAGACCGCACCCCAAGGCAGCATGGGCATCTGCCCCTCTCACCTCCCGCTCTACCGAGGTAGCAGCAGGTGGCGTCTGAGGCTGCAGACCAGTGATCCAGAGGAGACAAGACCGCTTGAAGCCTGGGAGGGTGGCCTTCCTCACATGTGCATGGGAGATGGTGGTGCACTGGCACACACACACACACACACACACACACACGCACACATACACACACGCACGCGGCGGGGGTGAGGAAGTGCTCTGGGGAGAGGTCATCAGCTCCAGGGGCTGGATGCTTCAAAGGTTAGGGCCCATCGATCCACATGAATTAACAGAGCTGACCTGCTTATTAGCACCTTGCAGATAGAGCCCCCCTTCTCAGGGTCAGCGGGAGAGGCAGAGGCAGAGAGGGGGTCAGAGGAACGGAGGGATCAGCCCTTCCCAGGGCTGGTGGGGAGTCCCAGACCAGGGCAGAAGAGCAGTAGAGCTTGCCCAGAAAGAAAAAGGGAGGCCGATAAACCCAAAGGTGGGTGGGCAGGGAGCTATGGCCAGCAAGGGGCGCCCACTCTCACTTGCGGGCCGGGGTGCGGGGTGCTGCAGTGAGAGGAGGGACTGACTCAGGATTGCAGCTTCTTCCACCGAGGCCCCCGGGGGACACTTGCTGCTTCCTGAGGCAACCTGGGCCCTCTCACAGGTGCCCTGACCCACCCACGCGGAGCACAGGCAGGCCAGGAGAAAGCTGCCGGCTTTGTGGAGCCCTGGGGAGCCCTTCTCTCAGCCTCCTCACTGGGTGACTCACCCCCCGTAATCACCACCACACACACCCACACATGCTCACATTCATGTGTGATGTCAGACAGTGTCACCCAAATACTCCCACACTCCTCACCTCACACACTTAGCCAGGCAACCCCACGCACAGACACACTCATATGTGCATCCAGGGCCCCATGTCTCAGGCCTGCTCCTGCGGATGTTCACAGTCACACAGGCCTCACCCCTGGGGTCCCCTTCCAGGTCTCCAGGAGGGGCTGGTGCTAAGCAGATGAAGCAGTGGGCTGGAAGGACCCCAGGTTAAGGCCGCTGGGCTAACAGCTCCCGGGTCAGCCCGTCCCTCCCAGCTGCACCGTCCCGGTGGACTCGACCCAGAAGGCGCTTTATTGAGGAGCGAAGCACATCGGGAAGGCGCAGTGCGGACCACAGGAGGCCTTCCAGGGTGGAGCAGCCTGCCCCCATTCACCCTCTACCAGGGGCGTGCTCCACCCTGCTCTACCTCGGGGGACCACCCTGGCTCAAATCGGGACCCCCCCCCCCGCTGCGCCCAAAAGATCATGTTGGGGTAGAGACCAGGAGGGCAGGGAGGGCGGAGGGGAAGCTGGGGCCGGTGGCAGCGCGCAGGGGCAGGAGACAGCCCGGTGACATGCCTCCCTGTCCCTGCTGCCGCCCCTTGGGGTCCGGGCCTTGCAGGGAGTGAGTCCCCCTCAGGGCGGCTCGGCTGACGGCGCCCACGTGGCCGGTTCCGTCGAGCCTGGGGGGAGGGGAAGCAGGGCCCGGCGTCTCCCTCCTCTGGCGGGCGCGGCCCCGCAGCGTGGCATCCTCCCCCCAGAGGTCCCCAAGGGGGGACGCAGGAGCCACCTGCGAAGCACCGGACCCTACGGGATCTCCCTCGTCTCGCCCTTCTCCCGCTCCGCCGCCTCCTTTTTTCTCAAGCGGCACCGACGGAGGGGCGCGCTCCGGGCCTGCCGGGCGGGGCGTCGGGCCGGCCCCGGGTCCGCTAGGGGGCGACGCGCTGCCGGCCCGGGTTGAGCTGGAGCCCGGCGCTGCGGGCGCGGGGCCGTGCGGGGCGCGGGGCCCGGGGCCCGGGGCTGGAGGGCGAGGACGCGGCCGAGGCGGCGGGGCTGAGCTGCACGGCCGTGGTGTCCTGCGCCGCGCGCTCGCTGCTCTCCAGCGCCAGCGCCAGCGCCAGCGGCCCGCCCCCGCCCCCGCCCCCGCCCCCGCCCCCGCCCGGGGCCGCCGCCGAGCGCGCGGGGAGCGCGGGGCCCCGGCGGCTACACGCGCAGCAGGCGGCGAAGCAGCCGAGCGCCAGCGCCAGCAGCGCGGGCCCCACGACGAGCGGCGCGCTGCCCCGCGGCGGGTTGGAGGCCAGGGCGCCCGCGAGCGTCACGTGCAGGCCGGCCAGCAGCACGCACAGGCCGCAGGCCAGAAGAGCGCGGGCGACCCACATGGCGGGAGGGGGCCCCGGCTTCTGCCCGCGGCCTGGGTGGGAAGACGGCCGTGGCTCCCCCACTCAGGCCCTGCAGTCCGCGGAGGCCGGCCTTGCCATCCTCTCTAGGCCCGGGCCGGGCGCTGTCCCTCCTGCTCCTCTCCTCCAGGAAGCCTTCCTGCATTAATTAAATTAATTGAGTGAATGGCTGTAACGTGCTCATCAAATGAGACTCAGTCGTCCTAATTAGAGAGCGGGTGTCAGCTCCGGGAAGTTAGACAACTTCCTCCATCCCCCACGTGGAAGCAGGCACACAACCTTAGAAATCATCTGCACCAAGGGGGGCACTTGACGAGATGAGCACTGAGTGTTATACTATATGTTGGCAAATCGAACTCCAATTAAAAAATATATAAGAAAAAAAAATCATCTGCTCAAGCCCCATCTGGTCCAGATGAGGAAACTGAAGCCCAGAGAGGTCTAGCAGTTTCCCGGTCCGAGAGCCAGGACCAGGACCTAATGACCTTGCGTCTGGCCCGGGTGCCAGATGCTTTCAGCTGAATCAAGTGCTTAGAACAGTAACTGTCACCCACGCTGTCACGGTGGTGGTTGCCAGAGAAGGGGGCTGCAAGGGCTCAGATCTGGACACGCTGCTCAGAGTATGGAACCAGGACGGTTGATCTCTCCCTCAGGTGGAAGTGCCTCAGGGCTGGCACCTGAATGGTCCTTCCCAGGTGTCCAAAGCCTGCACACAGTGGGGTAGGAGAGAATCTGAAGACTGAGCGAGTGAAAGCGAAGGCGAGGGCCAGGGAGGGCCAGCACATTCCTCACTCGGGGCAGCCTTTCTCTCCCTGGCCTCTCTGTTTGCAGTAACCTCTGCTTTAGTTTTTACTGCATGGGATTAGGTATTACTGTTAAATCCTCATTTAATAGATGAGGATATTGAAGCACAAAAAGATGAGCTAAATTCACCCACTCTGAGTGGCTGTGGTGCGGTTTTCCTTACCTGAAACCTGGTGGCTGGGCTCTCAGCTGGCCTAGTGCCACACGTCCTCAATGCTCGTTGAGTGACTGGAGCATGGGGCTTGACCTCTCCTCACGGCCTGTAGATAAGCTCTTGTAATCGGCACTTACACTGCTCAAATGTCAACAACAGCGGAGGGGGCTGGCGTGTTCTGTGCCTGTCTCCAGAAAGGTAAACTCACTTTTCTCCTTTTGGCTTCACACACTCAGTGCAACACCCAGCACTGAGGAGGGGCTGAGCTTCTGGGTACTAATTATCAGTGAATGATCCCCATTGGCTCCTGGGAGGCAGAGCTGACTCTGGAAGATGAACCTACTCCCAGAGGCCCCACCCCAGGCAGAGAGGGCCAAGGGCTGGTGGGTGTCTCCACCCTGGCTGATTGGGATGTCCAGGGCAAAGGGTTGAGATGTTGAGGTTGCCCAGCTACTGCAATTCAGTTTGTGCCTCCTTCTCCCTCTGTGGGACTGCGGCCCTACAGCCAGGGCTGTCGTGATGTTGGGTACTGTTCTGAGGCGGGTGCTCTGGCTGGCTCTGCTGTGGGGTGTCCCTGGTGCTCTTCACTAGATCTCTCGTTCTCTCCCTTCTGAACACATGTTAAGATTGTACCTCCTGGGGGCGCCTGGGTGGCTCAGTTGGTTGAGCAGCTGCCTTCAGCTCCGGTAGTGATCCCAGGGTCTTGGGATTGAGCCCGGATCCCGAATCGGGCCCCCTGCTCCTCCGGGAGCCTGCTTCTCCATCTCCCACTGCCACTCCCCCTGCTTGTGCACTCTCTCACTGTCAAATAAATAAATAAAATCTTTAAAAAAGAAAAAGGAAAGAGAAAAGATTGTACTTCCCGGACAATTTGTGATTAGGTGGAGCCATGTGAGTGGTTCTGGCCAATGAACTGTGTACCTGCAGCACTTCCAGCTGCATCATTTCTGGAGCATTTAGTTTCAGAAGCAGGAGGCTTTGAGATGATGCTCTTCTTTCCCGAATCCTTCAAGCCTCTCTATTTCATCCCAAGCCCAGCCCTCGACCTCACTGCCTGAGCAGGAGGGACGGTCCTTGCTCTGAATCTAAGTTGTTGGGACTAGAACAGCCTTCTCTTTAGTGAGCACCCCAGGCTGCTAAGCTGGTGAAGTCACCTAGTTCAAAGCCTTCATCAATGGATGGGAGAAACTGAGGCTTAGAATGAGAAGGTACAGGGAGGGAGGCTATGGCCCAGGCCAGACCAGAACCATGCTTTTCCCACCCAGGAAGAGCCCTGACCATTGTCATTCCACTGCCCATGACCACGATCAAGCAGTCACCCTCCCTGCTGCCCTGCCTCTGGCAGGAGAGGCCTTGCGGTCTCTGTTTGGGAGTCTAGGCCAGAAGCACTTTGGAGCAGAGGCAGACACCAGAGGCGAGGCCTCAGATGACCAAGACTATCAACTTTGGTTTGGTTGGGCAACTTGGGAGGGCTGGGCCCCTTTCTATGCCTCAGCTGCCTAAATGCAGGGAAAGGTTTAGCCGGGTTATTGTCTCTGAACTCCTCAACCTGCTATCTCACTCAACTACCTGTGCTTTGTGGAGGTGACAATGAGAACCTGTCAGAAATTACCATCAAAAATATCAATATTTTTCTTTAAAATATCGATATTTTTCTTAAAAATTGGTATTTTTCTTTTCTATGTTTCTTAAAAATGATACATTGATCTGGGATAGGGCTGTTCTTTGTTTTGGGCTGGGATTGTGTCACTGCCCTAAGAAGCCACCTGCTGCCCAGGGGTTCTGATTATGCGGGAGGGGCTCTCCCAGTGACCAGTGACTCTGTGTGGAACACTGTGCCTACGCTAATGCGGTGAATCTTTACTACCCCCCTGCGAGCTGCTACAGTCCTGAACCCAGGTCACTGGGAGGAAACCAAGCCTTGCAGAGGTGAAGGAACTTTCTCCGCTTTACTCAGTTGTAACAAGTAAAGCTCGGGTTCAAACCCAGATGTGTCAGGCTGAAAGGCCCATGTTTCCCCTACACCAGAGTTTCTGCTTACTAGAAGGTATAGAGATGTTTGACTATTTTTAAAAATAAAGCAATTGATCACTATCCAGCTAATCATCAAGATGCTTGGGGCCCACGGAGGGTGGCCCTCAGTAGGTGGAGGCAAGAGGTCCTGGAAAGGGGTCCCTGCCTGAAGCCCCATCAGATCAGCTGGTCACCCCCTCCCCTGGCCCAGTCCATGGATCTGGGATGTCCAGTTCTACAAGAGCAGCTGCTTGACCAGTGGCAGCTGCCAGGCCTCCCAAGCCCAGGATCCTGCTCTAAGGGCTCAAGAGCCTCTGGGCAGAGGGGTTGGGGCTTGAGTCCAGGCACTAGCCACGAGTGCCCATCCTCTGGGTGGGATCGAGTCCCGGGTTTCCTCAGCCTGTTTCTTTACTCCTCACTAGGAAAACCCCCCACACCACCCCCCTTAATCTTAGCCCTTCTCTTCCCCCACAGTCCCTGAAAATCTGGACCAACTAACACTTCTAGCATGGTCTCTATCCCCACCCTCTCCTATCCTCAGGGAACCTCCCACACCACCGTTAGTCAGTGCCGGCTTACTCACTGCCCTGAAAGCTCTCAGCTCCTGCCAACTGAATTGTGCCTCCCCGGAGCCCAAAGAGCTGCTCCCACCCCCACCCCAGTCAACCCCTGTGCCCTCACAGATTCCCCAAGCTGCAACTAAGGCTTGAGGATGAAGTCTGAGGGTGTGGCCTCCCAGCTCCTGTGTCTGGCTCCTGGGCCCCATTCTCACAAGCCCTGAGTGCATGTGCACGTGCACACACACGCACACTCAGTGACCAGACATACCCAGAAACACAAACGCAGCCATAGTACACTCCGAGAGCTGCACACACAGGCCAACACACAGACAGACACTCTCTCATTTGCCTGTCTATCCAGTGGAAATGAGTTTCTCCCCAGTAGAGGTGCTCTGGAGAATTCTCTCTGCCGGGGAGTGTGTGTGTGTGTACGCGTGCATGTGTGTGATTTGGTGATAAGGAGAGCTGGGGCCCCGGGGAGGGGTGATGGGAGTTCCATTCTAGCTGTGCTGCTGGTGCCCTCCCCTCTACAGTGGGTCCCTGTGCCTGCAAAGGCTCAGGGTACTTGATGCTCCCCCGCTCTGGGCTCAGGTTCACTACAGGAAAGTGGGCGTCTAGGCTGATGGTTTCTGCCAGTCCAGTGGACCCCAGCTTCCCGCACCGCTGGGGGCCCCCGGAACATGGGCTCTGGGGGCCGCATACCAAGTCCACACTGAGCCGGGCGAGGTGCTCCTGGCTGCCCCGGGGGCTCGGACTTGCCCACCACACTCCTTGGGCCACAGCCCCCAGAAGGGGCCTGGTCTGTGGCCAGACTTGGCTCCCAGCCTCAGTCTGGGCCTTGCCTCCCCTCTGCCAGCTGCCTGGAGTGAGTGGGAGGAGCGGAGGGAAGGACGGGGGCTGCCCAGTGTGGAGGTGGCCTTCCTGCCCAAGTCCCCCACCCCGAGACTTCAGCATCCTTGCCACAACCACCCCATCCTGTGCCCTCCTGGTCGGCTGGCTCCTCAGCTCCAGCGCCCAACTCCTCCATTCCAGCTCAGGGAGCCTCTCCCTCACCAGCCCCCCTCCCGGGGGCCTGGTCGCCCCTGTCAGCACCATGAGCCCTTCCACCTCCCAGAAGCCTGCCATCCTACCCTTGATAGTAAGCTTATTGCTACGGCACCTCCTCTGTGCCGAACACCCTTCTGAGCCCTCGATCTGAGTTACGTGTCATTTCAGGTCAGCCCCCTGATGACTCTATAGGCACAGGCTATTGCCATCTCTGTTTCCAGATGGGGACACAGGTCCGAGAGGTCACATGACGTGCCTGGGGTCACAGACACGGTGACACTACATGGCAGATCCAGGATGCACGGCTAGGCCGCGCTCTCAGCCGGGACCCAGCAGGGCCTCTAGCCGGCCAGGGGCAGCCACAGAGCTCTCAGCAGTTCCTTGGAGCCTCCTGCTGTGCCACC